CAGGCGGGGACGAGCTGCTCGGTGCTCACGCCCCTCGCCCCGCGCCCCTTCAGCCATCGCGCGAGCCAATCGCGGATAGCGTTGTGGCGCGCTATCGTGCCCGCCCCAGCATGGCAGCCCAGGGGGTGAGTCGGGGCCCGCGCAAGGCCCGCTCCGCAGAGGTGCCCGTCGGCGCGGCGGCGCTGGCAGGTGGCGCAGGTGTCGGCAGGCCATTGGGAGGCGGAAGCGCAGTGCCAGCGCCGTCAGGTAGTGCTCGTCCGCCAGGCGGTGGTCGTCCTGCGTCGGCGGGAGCAGCCAGCTGCCGGCGCCTTTCCCGCTGGCCGAGCGGAGCTGGGCAGCCTGCTCTGGCGGCAGCCCTGCCAGGATCCGCTTCCGGTTCTCGTCTCGTTCGTGGTGCGCGAGCGCCTTCTGCGCCTTGCGCTTCGGCCCCACCGCGGCCCGGTGCCACTCGCCGGCGCCAAGCCGGAGCTCGTTGCCCGCCCGCTCCGCCGCGCCCCAGAGTGCCGGGCAGCTCGAGGCGAACGCCCCCAAGCTGGCTTCGCCCAGCTCCCGCCGGACGTCTGCCAGGCAGCCGAGCCACGAGCCAGCGAAGGCGGCGAGCCGGCGTTGGGACATGCTGTGCAAGCCCACCCCGCCCTCTGCCAGGGGGAGGAAGAGCTGCGCCCGCGCGTCCGGCGGCAGAGGGCGCCCGAGCAAGCCTTCCAGGTGCCCCACCACCTTGTTGTCGTAGTCCTGGCGCCATTCCTCGCCAAGGAGGTGCGCCCGCGCGTGGTGAAGCGCCGCCCCGTTCGCGAAAGTCCGCGCGAGGACCACCTCGTCCTGCGCCGCGAGCCCGTGCGCCCGCAGGCCGCGCAGCTTCCCGAGGTAGGCGGTCAGGTGCTCTGTCGCTGCCGCGGGGGCCGCCGTCGGCAGGAAGCTCACCCTCGCTGGGTCTGCGCTCAGCCCTTCTGCCGCCGCTCCGCCGCGCACGAACGGCAGGAGCGACCCGAGGCACTGCATCTGCGGCACGACCTTCCCAGCCAGGGACGCTGGGAGCTGCAGACCCCAAGGGTTCCAGACCTGCGTTTTGTCGCCGTTCACCCTGAGGCCGACTCGGCCGAAGGCGGCGGGGGCGGCGGCGTACGCTGCCTCCAGCGCCACCGGCGTAGCCTTGAGGTAGCTGTCGTCCAGGTAGGCCAGCAGGCGCGCTTCTGGGTCGACGGCGGCCGCCGCTTCGAGAGCGAGGTACACGTCCGCCACGGCGACGGCGAAGAAGGCCAGCGACAGCGGGCACCCTTGGTCAAGGCCACGCTCCGCCCGCACCGGCTGGACGCTCCCTTCTGGCAGGTGGGCTCCGTGCGTCGTGGCGCCCCCGTACCGCGCGGCCGCCAGGCCGGCTAGCTCGGGTAACTTCGTCGACACCGCCTGCAGCACAATGTCCCGGTGGACCTCGTTGAAGGCGTTGGACACGTCCAGCTTGAGCAGGGCACTGTCCGGCGACTTCTCCACGGCGCCGGCGACCACCCGCTGCATGACCTCAGTGCCGTTTTTCCTGCCCACCCCAAACTGCCGGGGTCCCACCGCTGCGGCGATGGCAGTCTTGTGGGCGTCGGTGGCCGCCTTGCCCGCCATGCGCCTGAGTGTCTCGCGCCTTGCCTGGCGCACGCCAGTGGGCGGATGCGCGCGGGCTGCTTGCGCAAGGGCAAGAGCCTGCCTCCCAGCATGGCCCGAGCCGCTCGCTCCGGCATCTGGCCGCGCAAGATCAGCTCCAAGACTTGTGCAACGACCTCTGGCCCATCCGGACGCCCGCGGATCGCCGCCCAGTGCTCGAACCGCGCGCCCGTCAGGCCCGGCCCCGAGTGTCTCGGGAATTTGTTCAGGGCTCCAGAGATCTTGGTGGCCGCCTCTCCCTCCCAAGTCGTGGGAGCCACGTGTGGCGGGGGGCCGCGAGGCGCGGGCGCCGTCGGGAACAGCTGCGCCAGCTGGTCCGCCACGCCGGCGCCTGTGGCCAGCCTGTTGGGCCCGGCTGCCGCCGCGGCAGCCCGGCTGACCTCGCCCTGCATCAGGAGCTCATGCACGCGGAGGGCCTGAGCTTCCATGCTGCGCTGCGGCTGCGCCGCCCGCGTCTCCGGCTCGCCTGGGCGCGCGGATTCGGCCCACAAGGCCGCCCAATCCCCCGCCCAAGCCTTGCGTAAGCGGTTCGCCACCACCTTGGTCGCGGAGTTCCGGTCTTCGTCGTTCTCGGAGCGCGGCGGGATGGCGAAGAGCATCCGCGGGAGCATGAGGAGCTGCGCCCAAGCCCCCTCGTCGCCTGGCCAGGCCGCCACGGCGCGGCACGCGGCCGCCAAGATGTCGCCGACGGCCGTGTCCAGGCTCGTCGGGATGACGGTCCACGTCGGCACCGGCTCGAAGAGCGCTGCGTTCAAATCAAACTGGGCCCACCAGGAATGGCCAGGCAGCTCCCCCGCCTCGGCGGCCTCGGTGTGGCGCGGCGGGACGTCGTGGGTAGGCGAACCCTCCCCCCCCTCGTCGGCGTCGGGCGCCCGGGCCGGAGCGACGCATGCCAGAACCTGCCCGCGGGCACGCTCAGGCAGAGCAGCCAGGCCCTGCACACTGCCCCTGGGGATGCCTCCTGGGATGCACCACGGGTGGCGGAAATGCCGGTCCGGGTGGGCTGTGCTCGCCAGCCGCACCTCCTCCGGCTCGAACCCCGAGCAACACAAGACACACACTGCCACCCGCTTGCGTCGAGGCTGGAGGCTCGCCCCCCATGTTCGGACTCGCGCCCCGCCGGGCGCTCCAGGGGCAGCGACAGGCGGTGGCGCGGGCGGCGCAGGCGGCGCAGCAGCAGCCCCAGGCGCGGCAGCGGCGGCAGCAGCGCCTGCGGCGCTCCCCTGGGCAGCAGCGGCGCCGGGCGCGCCGCCAAATTGGGCTGCTCCAGAAGGCGCGGCCGCCGCCGCTTCGCCCCCCTCCTGCATCTGGACATCCTCCTCCTCCACTACGTTCACGTCGCTCTCCATCCCCAGTGGGGCGACCGCCGCCGGCTGCGGCGCTGCCCAAGCGCCAAAGGCAATTGCGTGAGGGGCGGGAGGAAGGTGCGGAATGAAAGGGGGAAGAGCAGGTGAGAAGGGAGGCGGCCGGGCAGCGGCTGCGGCGCTTGAGCCATCCTCCTCTTCCTCCTCCTCCCCCTCCTCCTCCATCGCTCCATTTTCATCCTCCTCGCCCGTCCTGGTCCATTGCCCTCCGCATCCTCCCTCTCCCCCCCCACCCTCCTCCGCCCTCCTCCACTCTTTGCATCCCCTCCTTCGTCCTCCTGCTCGCGCAACTTCTTCTCTTCCTCATCCGACTGCTCCCCCTCCTCATCCCACCGCTTGTTATTCCTCTTGTTCCTCCCCTTCGGGCGGAGCGACAGCAAGATGGGAGGAGGGAAGGGGGAGAGGAGAAGGGGATAGGAATGGGATACGGGGAGGAGGGAGGAGGAATGGAGGAGTGACCCACTGTAGAGGAGGTCGAAGACGGTCCACACTTTTTGCGTCGGCGGCTAGGCAGGGGTCGTCTGCGCTCGCGGAAGGAGCCAACTGAGCGGGGCACCGTTGTAGCGAATTGGCCAACATGCAGGAGCGGGAAGAGGGACAGGGCAGGCGGCCGAAGAGGATCCACACGGTAGACGCGGGGTGCGGTTCATCGGAGCAGAACTTTCGGCACGCCCGTGGGGGAGGGGCAGCAGGATGAACAGGACCCTCCCACACCCTATGTTCAGGTTGGGCACGCCCCCCTACAGGGGGATTTAGGACGAAAATAAGCATGGCTCAAAACATATTAAACATATGCAAAAGTCGTCAAACAAATCGTCCACTCACTATTCTTTGACTATGTTTGAAGATCCCCCCTGTAGAGGGACAGGCCCGACTTAACCCTGTGTCCGACGCCGTGACAGAGATCCCGATGGTGCAGGGCGCTCCCGGCCCAACACCAGAGGGCAGGCCTTCGGTCCAGCAGGACCGACCGGCAGTGACGAGGGGCCCCGAAGGCACGGGAGGAGAGAGGATGGAGGAGGGGGGAGGGAGCGACTGAGGAGGAGGAGGAGGAGGAGGAGGAGGAGGAGGAGAAGCAGGAAGGAGAAGCAGGAGGAGATGGAGGAGGAGATGGAGGAGGAGGAGGAGGAGGAGAGGAGGAGGAGGGAGGAAGGAGGAGGAGAGGAGGAGGAGGAGGGGAGGAGGAGGAGGAGGAGGAGAGCGACGAGAGGAGGAGGAGGAGGACTGCGGATACGGCGGACAGACCGCCGCGGGGCCGCCAGTGCGCGAGGAGGAGGAGGAGGAGGAGGAGGAGGAGGAGGAAGAGGAAGAGGAGGAAGGATGGAGTAGGGAGGACACAAGAGGGTGGAGCAGGGACGAGGCAACCCCAGAAAGTGTCCTTGGAGCTCTGCCGCTCACGGCGTTTGGCGGCGGAGGGACCTCTCTGGCTCCGCCGCCACCTCGGACCTCCCACCCCCCACGGGGGCAGCGCCCGCCCCTCGAGGAGGGAGCAGCCCTCAGTGAGCATCGCCTGTCCGATCCCTGCCCCACACGGCGTGGCCTGGGCCCCACTGGCACGATTTATCCCCCCCCCCCCCAGGGGGAGATACGAGCCGCTTTCTTTGTGTCTCGAAGGGCGTGTCGCCCCAGCTGGGGGGGGGGGGGAGGGGGCGGGGCTCGGGACGGCGACGGGGATCGGGGACAGGGGCCGGCGAAGCGATGCTGCCCGCGATGCCCCCCCGCCCAGCCGGGAGGGCGGGGCCGCCCCGAGCGCCCGAGAAGCCGTCCGCCGAAGGCCTCCCCCCACTGCTCCCTGCCCTCCCTGGCGAGCCTCGGTGGCCCGGGTGGCGCAGCCCGCGACCCCGCCCCCCCTCGCGGTGGCGAGGCGGCCCCCCTCGGCTCTGCCCCGCGCGGCCGCGGCGGCTCTCCCGGCGGGGCCCCGGTGCCGCCGCCTGCCCCAGCCGGTGACGGTGTGGTACTGCTGCATGACGGCCGCGGCGGTGGGACCTGCGCGCCCTGCTGCCCCCCCCCCGCCCACAGCCCGAGGCCCCTTCCCTCCTGCCCCCTCCCGCTCCCGACCCTCCTCTCCTCCTCCCCTCCTCCTCCTCCCTCCTGCTCCTCCTCCTCCTCCTGCTCCTCCTCCTCCACCTCCTCCTCCTCCTCCTCCTCCTCCTCCTCCTCCTCCTCCTCAGTCGGACCTCCTCGTCCGTTCCAGTCGCTCCCTTCCCACCCCGCTCCCTCCTGACCTCCCCCTGCCTGCCTCCTCCTGGCCTCGCCCCCGCTCCCCCCTCCTGGCCGTGTCCTCCTCCCCCTCCCAGTGCGCCTCCCCTTCCTCCTGAACTTCCTCCCTGCCTCCCTTCTCGTCCAACTCCTCCTCCGCCCTTCTCTTCCATCCTCCTCCTCCTCCTCCTCCTCCTCCTCCTCCTCCATCCTCCATGTCTATCTACTCGGGGAAACGTAAGACTCGACGTCGCCAGAACTCGGGTTTGCGGACGCTTCTTGACGAGCGAGTCCTGGATTCTGACGGTTCAATGTTCGTGGGATGTTTGAAGCGGGAGCTCGCGCCAAATCTCAGACTGGATCGAGTCATTTTCGTGATGGTCCCCCGTCCTCGAGCTGATCGGCCCGGGTCTCGGGCGGCCCGTGAAGCGAAGGACACTGCGGACTCGAGCAGGACCAAACCAGGGGGACAGCAAATGTCATAACCATACCTTCCGGAGGCCCGCGCTGAGTTCTTGGATCGGCGCCTGACCCCCCCCCCCCGCGCGAAACCTGCCAGGGGCGGGCGGCGCAGGAGGCACCGTCAGGGGGCACCAGCGCCGATCCAAGAAATCCGCGCGGACACCCCACGTGTTGTGTTTATCTAGCTCTTCGTTCCCCGAAGACCTCGCCCGACAAAGAACGCTGGCGGCGCGCACAAGGGGGTATGGGGGAGGGGCGGAGGCTTCTTGGAAGGAGGCCGCTTCTCAGACAGCGCTGGCCCTGTATTTGTAGGCAAGGCCCGCGCTTTCTGAGCAGCAGGGGTGCTTCTCAGAAGCCGTTACCCTCCTACCCCTGGTTATAACCTTAAGTCGGGCCCATCCCCCTACAGGGGGATTTTGGACGGAACGAAAAAACTATATTCCAAAAATGCTCAACAAATGCTCAAACATAGTCAAGAATCGTCCCCAGAACACCTTTTTGACTATTTCTGAATATTCCTCATGTAGAGGGACAGGCCCGACTTAACCCTCATTATATCCCCCTGCGCCTTGGCCGAGAACGAGGAAGGAGTTGCGCGTCGCCAGCCCAGTGGCGGCCAGGGCGGCGGAGGGCGTGCCCTCTGAGAGAGCGGCACCCCCGCCTCGCAGGAGGCGGCCCTCTGACGCCTGCCGCAGCAGAGCACCCCCGAGACAGAAACTGCAGAAGCTTAGGTCGTGCCTGTCCCCCTACAAGCCGATTTTCGAGGAAAGAATAAACATAGTCAAACAATGCGCAACAACTGACACACAATACTAGAAAAATAGTCCTCAGACTATTGTTTGACCGTTTTTGAATATTCCTCCTGTAGAGGGACAGGCCCGACTTACGCATAAGCATGGGTAAGACACGATGCCAGCACAGAGACAACATCGGACATGGACAAATCGGGGACCTCTGAGGTCTGGCGGTTCTGGAGAAGATGTCGGGCGCCGCGGCCTTCTCCGAGCGCTTCGGAGCGCTTCGAGCGCGTCCCAATACGCTCTGGAACGGTTTTACCCTCGTCCTAGCCCCGCCCAGATGAAACACTCGAAGGTCCGCTCTGTAAAAGTTTGGTTGACCCAAAAGGGGGTCCAGCTGAAAGGGGGTGGTGCGATAGGTTTTGGGCGATTGTATTGCACATGCATCGTGCCAGAGCATTGTTTTGCATTGTATCGCAACTGATGTATTGCACGCGAGAACACAGCGATACATTTGCGCACCAGAACGTATTGCACGCCCCAAGTCTAGTGCAACCCCACAAATCTATTGCACCACCCCATTGTCGCTGGACCCCGATATGGGTTGACCAGAGTTATGTTGTTTCCATCCGACTTAAGGACCACATCCCCCACAAAAATCGAGCACCCGGAAAAGTGTCAAAAGAGTGTCGAAACAATGTCGGGCGAGTGTCTCCAAGGGCCCGACGCGTGAAACCCATGGAATTTCTGTACTTGTTCTGGTGCTCGAAATTCTTTTTGGCAATCAAGGCTGAAGTAGGTTGGAACATTATAAGACCAGAGGAAGCATGGTTGGGCGCCCGAATCATCAGGGGTAACTCGGGTCCGGGGTAACTCGGGTTTGGAATCCCGAAAAACGAACCCGAGTTAGCCCTGACCCGAGTTACCCCTGATGATTCGGGGCTCTGGACGCCCGAATTATCTGGGGTAACTCGGGTCCGGGGTAACTCGGGTTCGGATTCCCGAAAAACGAACCCTAGATAGCCCTGACCCGAGTTACCCCTAATGATTCGGGGCTCTGGACGCCCGAGTTATCCGGGGTAACTCGGGTCCGGGGTAACTCGGGTTCGGATTCCCGAAAAACGAACCCGAGATAGCCCTGACCCGAGTTACCCCTGATGATTCGGGGCTCTGGACGCCCGAGTTATCCAGGGTAACTCGGGTCCGGGGTAACTCGGGCTTGGGTTCCCGAAAAACGGACCCGAGTTAGCCCTGACCCGAGTTGCCCTTGATGATTCGGGGCTCTGGACGCCCGAAATATCCGGGGTAACTCGGGTCCGGGGTAACGCGGGTTCGGATTCCCGAAAAACGGACCCGAGTGCGCCCTGACCCGAGTTACCCCCGATGATTCGGGGCTCTGAGCATGGGCCTGGAGGAGGAGGAGGAGGAGGAGGAGGAGGAGGAGGAGGAGGAGGAGGAGGAGGAGGGGGAGGGGGAGGAGGAGGGGGAGGAGGAGGAAGCATGGGCCTGTGCTCGGCCGCGCACGACACGCGCCAGCACCCGCGCCGGAGCCGCCGGCAGGAGGGTCCCACCGCCGACCCGGGAGCTCTGAGGCGGACCTCCGCGGCTGCACTGCGCGTGCGGCGGCAGTCTCTGCGAGGGGGCCGAGCCCTGCACCAGAAGAAGAGGAAGGAGAACAAGCGCCATAAGCATCAGCCACGAGGAAGAAGAAGAAGAACAAGCACCAGAAGAAGAAGAAGAAAAAGAAGAAGAACAAGCACCAGAAGAAGAAGAACAGGCGCCTTCACAGAAGAAGAAGAAGAAGCGCCATGAGCATCAACTTCTGGCGCTCCGCGCGGATTTCTTGGATCTGCGCTGGAGACCCCTCCCAGGCGCGCGGAGCGCGCCAGGGGCGGCGCCGGAGGCGCCGCCGAGGGGGGCCCGGCGCGGATCCAAGAAATCTACGCGGAGCGCCAAGAGCGTATGTTTATGGCGCTTTTCCTTCTTCGATTCACAGGGCCCCCTTGTTTTCTCGGAAGCCCTGCCCCTCTCGCCCTGGCCTTAGGTCGGGCGTGTCCCCGTACAGGCGGATTTTGGACTACGAATAACAAATACTCATAAGTTCTCCAAGCGTGCTCAAAAATAGCAAAAAATCCTCACCAGACTATTGTTTGAATTACTTTTGGGGAATCTTCCTCCTGTAGAGGGACAGGCCCGACTTAGCCCTGGCCCCTCCTGTGCACCACCGGCCCCGACCCCCAGGCCTCCGAAAGAGCCGCGACTCTGCACCCGAATAGACGAGCGCGTTCCCCTACTCGCAAAGTAGCTACTCGCAAATGGCGTGGATCCGCCGCGGGGGACCTACGATAAATCTCACCGAAGCAAACATATTTGTTTCGGACGTTTGCGAGTAGGCACTTTGCGAGTAGTGGAACACGCTTGGTGACCGAAGGCGGGCCCCGGAGCCGTGGGCGCCCCCACACCCCGGGGGGCAGCTGCTTCGCTGCCGGGGGCGGCTTCTGGTCCACTTGCGGCCTCCTCGTGGCTGCCGCTCTGCTCCTCCTCCTCCTACTTCTCCTCGTCCACCTCGTTCTCCTCCTCCTCCTCATCCTCCTCCTCCTCCTCGTCCTCCTCGTCCTCCTCCTCCTCCCCCTCGTCCTCTTCGTCCTCGTCCTCGTACTCGTCCTCCTCCTCCTCCTCATCGTCCTGCTGCTGCTGCTCCGCCTCCTCGCCCTCGTCCTCCTCGTCCTCCTCGTCGTCCTCCTCCTCCTCCTCTTCCTCCTCCTCGTTCTCAGAAGCGGTGGTTCCAAGGGGTGGGGTCCTAAGGACAAGGTGCCCAGACAGTGTACCTCCACCCTTGGATCCCTTCCTACCTCTTAGGACCCCATCCCTCAGGACCCCGTCTTGGAACCACCGGCGGGGACATTCGGACCGCGTGCCGCTCCGCTCCGCGGGGTGGGAGGCTGGCAACAGCTCGGGACGTTGACGCCAGGGGACCGTAAAATTGATACAGTCCACGCGCCTAGGGTACCCTGCTGTCCGTGCCCCCGCGGCCCGACCTTTGCCGTTTTCACTGGCCGCCTGCCGCCCAAAAAATCCCAATGTCGGCCTCCAAGGGTCTTGCGTCCTTGCCGCCCGTTCTTAATACAGCCAGAGCTAGGCCAGAAGAATATCCCTCGAGAACATGAGACCCTCGGTCGGCCAAAACAAACAACATATCCAAGGGCACCCTCCCGAGGGTGCACAAGAACATCCAGCAAGCAAGAAGAGCACTAGGATGCCCTCCCCGAGCCGACTTTTACCTGATACCTCGGTCCGACAATGCACGTTTTGACTGTCGCGTACCGCGCCGAAGCGCGGTGGGCCAGAGCTGGCGGAGCGAAGGCGCTGTCCAAACACTCCCGACGTCGCCATCGGGGATCTACTGAGCCGGGTCAATCCAGACCCGGGCCAGTCAGACTTTGCAGGATCCTGCAACATCCTGCGCGATCCTGCAGGATCCTGCGCCCAAGCCCGGGTCAGTGCACCCCTGCGCAAGATCCTGCAGCAAGATCCGGCGCTCTGACTGGCCACCGCTTGTATTGACCCCGGTCCGCAAAACCTCCAGCC